TAAGAAAATTGAAAGAGCTAGAAAAATTTACAGGTTATTCGAAAAAATAGGTTTAGATAAAGTAAAATATATTAAGTCATATAGCGCGAATGCTATTTCGAAATTTACCAATGAACAGATTCAAACGATTATTGATCATTTTACTAAAAATCCCACCAAAGAATTCATCGATGACCAGGACAATTCTTCAGATGATTTACCCAAAACTGATGTAGATAAGAAAACTTTACCAAAAATTGAGGTGAGTACACTAACTATATCTCAGCCCAAGCTTCAAATTTCAGCAGAATTAGCACAGTCAAAAGCCTCCTACGCCTCTCCAAAACTCTTCCCATTCAAGAGAAAGCTATCAAAAGAGATGTGTAATCCAGTTATTAATAAACTAATTTCACATTTTACTGACTCGCCAAAGTTAGATAAGAATTGTAGTATCGATACTGAAGGTGAGCATCAAACTGATTCCTATTTGGTTCTCAGTTCACATTGCCTACTATGTAGAGAAAATCATATGAGTTTAAATAGTAAGTAGTGGCTAGATAGTTGAAATAAAAATATATATTATTTACATTGCACTAATTTAAAAGAGCCAGGAATTCCATATGATGATGTACTAAAAGCATATTCTAGTAATTTGGAACTAATTCAAGAGTTAAAAACTCAATGCTTCACAATACCCATCCCTTGAAATAATGCTCTTATTTTACCAGATAAAAGTATAGTAGTGAAAGCATAGTCACTGTATAACTTTGTCTATAACAAGAAATCATGATTAATGATAATATATATATTATTACGTATTTATCATATCAATAAAGAGTTAAATCGTCAGTCCACATCACTAAGATTCTAACGCATTTCAACTACGACTCAACTGAGGTATGACTTTTTCATATAATTATATAAGAAAAATTCAACCGCGACACAACCGTGACTCAACTACAACTCAACTGAAGTATTTGGACTAAGCGATCTTAAATGAAAATAATTATCATTATAGTGCATCAAATATATCGATCTACTGGCAATCATGAACGATTTGCAAATAAGTAGCTAAGCTTAATTCAATTAATTAGAAATGTTGAATAAGATAGTCATATTTTCTATTGAATTTAGATACTTACTAGCCGATTTTAAAATTAGAGGTTTCAACATTAAAACTAGAGAATCTCAATTTATTTTTTTTTAATTTATAGCGAAGCTAGTGTCTTTGACACATAATTTACATAGTAAAAACGCTATTTAAAATTCTATGCCTTGGCATGAGCTCTGCTCTACTTATTTCGATACACAACTTATTAATTTCGAATTTTAATAACTCCTTAATGATCAAGGTTATTGCCACAACTGCAACATCTCGATAGTGATGCCGATTGTTAGTGATCTTTAAGATGGCTGATCTGGCAAGCTCATAGATATACAATTAAATTTTATAAGCAATCAGGTTTTAAATTATCTTAATATTCGTATCTATCTATGGTAAGTAGCCAATACAGTATTATGCTCCTTCTTGAGTTTCATAATATATTTAGTTAGTGCAATAATAAAAAAAGATATTTTTATACTGATCGTTATGCACTTTAATCGAGACAAAAGCGATGTTTGGTTAAACAACTCTCATACAATAGATAATAATGCATATCGTGAGATTTAGCAGACATACTTTTCTACAGCTGTTGAGATTTAAAATTTTTAT